TCCCAGACTCAACGGGAGATTTATAAATGACCCCAACTAGTTTCTTAGCAGGTTAAGCCTTATTTTTGTCCAAAGTCTCCAGGAATACAACTTAATCCATTTTATACTTTGTGAGTAAGTTCACCGGAAAACCATTGTAACAGGTTTCAAGGGAAGCAGATTTCAGGTTATTTTTAAACCTTTCAATTAAGACCCAAGCCGTGACTAAACTGATCTTTCTCTCACTGGAATACACACTTGACTTCTTTGATCTTTTTGCTTGTGTTATATTCCTCAAACTTTTTAAAATAAATATGATACTGTTACCACCATTACTTTTTTATCTAAATAACCTTCCTGTCTCTACCTACGGCTTACAGAAGCAACGGTAGCGTATTTAAAATAAAATCATTGATATATCTTTATTTTGTATATTAAAGAAGTTTACACAACTTTTCTAATTAAAATAAATTGCATTTTAGCAGCATTGGACTCTTTCTTTAATATATTTAGAAAATAAGTACCTACCTACCTTATAAGCGTTATGAGTCTGTATTTACTGTTGTACTGCGTGATAATTCTGCACCTGCTATTTTGTCTTTAGTTAACAATTACCAAACTTTCAGAGAGCGGGGCAATATCCCAATTGCCCCAGCCGAAACAGCGTCGGTATCATTGATAACAGCACGAATTAAACATAAAACAATTAAGCAACAATGTAAGGAACATCGACATTGGACTGTTTAAATAAATTAAATGTAAAAAACCCTTTTTAAAAAACAAGCTTTTATTTAAATGCGCTAAAAAGAAACAATCTAAGTAAATTATAACCAGAGAGCGGACAATTTGTGACTTTAACCTTGAACATAGATATGTCATTCATAAACATAGATACATTACCCATGACTCAGTGGCGTGTCGGGTATGCATCGGAAATTTACGTGATAATTCACGAAAATTCCACGGTACATACATTTTTAGGCGTTATAAAATATTTAGAAAATCAGAAATTGTATACTACATATTTATTAAATAAAGTTCGGTTAAAAATAGTGTCGTTCTTTTAATTGGAAATTAGGAGTCAATGTAACGAATAGCCTCAGGCGACGCACATGACAGAATAGTCCAACTTACGCTCCATTCATAACAGGGCTGCAGTTTGAATTCTGACCAATAGGAATTCGATAAACTCAACCGATGTCGATGGATGGACTAGAGATGGGCGCGAGTGTCATTTCATTTCTTTAGAACTAAATTAACTTAATTATTTTCTCGTTATTTAACGTGTTCACATGATTTATGGATTTTAAATAAAGGGAACAAATCTTCGCGAGGATAATACGATGTATTTGCTATACATAATAATTATATTTTACATTGTTTATGCACAATACATTTTTGAACGCGTACACATCTCTACCAAAATTTGACCTATTCTTCGGGTTAAAGTCACACATTGTCCGCTCTCTAATTATAACATATAAATTGTGTAATGACGTTATAAGTTGATAGTAAAAGTTTTAAAGTTAAAGTTTATTTTTTTCTTATTAGCGTATTTAAATAAAAGCTTGTTTTTTAAAAAGGTTTTTTACTTTTAATTTATTTTTTATTTTTTAGTTATCGCTGGACACGTTCCTCAGTCTGTTCATCTCAATCAACGCATCATTATTGCAAGGTCGTTTGCCGGTTAATTTCGAACAGTCTAGCTCTTCAATAAGGAGACCTTCTAATGATTTTACCCCACTTAAGGCCACGTATGCTTGACCGGCAGCGAAGAACTTCGAGCCTAAAGGCTTGTTTACACGGGGACAGTAGGTAAGTGGTAACTAAATTTTAAGTTACTGGCTTTTTCTGCTAAGTTCTAAGTTTAGTTGTTGGTAAGTTCTAGTGCAGTTTATATATTTGCAAACCTGACGAGATGAACGTGAGGCAGCAGTTTGTAGAAGAATTTAATGGTATACTACGCGATATCCTAAATAACGAGTGTTCAAATAAAAACGTGGTCGAAGTTGGCTCTGACACATTGGACGTAGGGAGTAGCTTATAGCGACCAACTTAACCTCATTTCTCAACGCGCTGTATAGCAGCTGTCAGTTTCAATAACGTTAATGACTATATAACTTTATTTTGAATAATAATCGTGATAACAATAACAAACAATTAAAGGAGTTGCGGAAAGTGTCCCCCTCCTTGTTATAATAATAAATTAAAGCATCTGCTGAAAGTGTCCCCCTCCTTGTTCCAAGCACTTTTCACACCTGTTCCTCAAAGAATTAAAGACATTTTCTAAGATGCTCGGGGTATTGTTAATTTCACGAATCTTGTCTATAAGTCGAGCCTGCAGATGGTTTAAATCAGGAATAGGCAGTTCAAAAATAGTGTTTTTAAGGTAAGGCCACAAAAAGAAATCACACGGCGTAATATCACATGACCTCGGTGGAAATTCATGTTCAGCATTGAGACTTATTAGTCGATTTTGGAAAACTTCCCTCAACATATTCATCGTCTCGCCTGCCGTATGTGCCCTTGCGCCATCTTGTTGAAAGTAAAAGTTTGTAATTTCGTTTTCTTCCAGCTGGTTAACAAAAGGAGCGATAATTTCTTCTCTATACCTTTGCGCAGTAAGAGTACCATTAAAAAAAATAGGTCCATAAATCCTCCTTCGATTGAGAGCACACCAAACTCCAATTTTTTGAGCGTGTAGAGGGCCCTCGACAAAAAAGTTATCTGGTTTTTCAGAAGACCACATTCTCATATTCTGTGAGTTTACGTAACCACTTAAATGAAACCAGGCTTCATCAGAAAAAAA